AGCTGCATTGTGTATTTGTAGATCTAGAAAAGGCATATGACAAAGTGCCAAGGGAGGAATTGTGGTTTTGTATGAGGAAGTCAGGAGTGGCAGAGAAGAATGTTAGTTTGGTGAAGGACATTGTTGGAAGGACAGAAGACTTCAAGGTGGAGGTGGGACTACATCAAGGATCGGCCCTGAGCCCCTTCTTGTTTGCTGTGGTGATGGACAGATTGACAGATGAGGTCAGACAGGAGTCCCCATGGACTATGATGTTTGCAGATGACATTGTGATCTGTAGTGAGAGTAGGCAGCAGCTAGAAGAGAACCTAGAGAGGTGGAGGTTTGCACTAGAAAGAAGAGGAATGAAGGTCAGTCCCAGCAAGACATAATACATGTGAGTAAACGAAAGACAGAACAGTGAAATAGTGAGGTTACAAGGAGCAGAGGTGGTGAAGGTGCAGGAGTTTAGGTACTTAGGATCAACTGTTCAGAGCAGAGGAGATTGTGGAAGAGAGAGGAAAAAAAGAAGAAGAAGATTCTGGTTGATTCTATATGTGTAATCCTAATTTGTAAATTGTTTTTAGTAATTGTTTGTTCTTTGTATAGATTTATTTGTCACAAAGCCATAATCATTTAGACATTACATTACATTAAGTCACAAACATGTTACTCAGCTATCTTCTGTTGACCTCTGCCTAAAACTACAAATTCAAAATCCTCCAATTTCGCAGATTGGAAAAAATGCCTTTGTGTTTAAGATGTTTGAATAAGGACTGCAGTAATCACACGGCCAATCCAATCTTCTAGGTGACTTCGATCAGAAGCCTTACGTGTCTGGAGATGCAGACTGCACCACAGTCCAGCTCACTGGAGATGAGGATTACATACTACTGGCGTGTGATGGCTTCTTTGACACAGTGAAACCTTCTGAGGTCCCAGATCTTGTTCTGCAGGCTCTCCAGCATCAAGATGACCCCGAAGGAGGAGAAGCTCCGCAGCAACTTCCTGAGGAGATCAACGGACTGAAAGTAGCCCAGCAATTGGTAAGCATTGCAAAATCAGCTGGCTCCAGTGACAACATCACAGTGATGGTGGTGTTCCTGCGTCCACCCGAGCAGCTGCTGTCTTAGAGCTCAACCAAAGAAAGAGCACACTCTATTGAGGACCCCATTTCCCAAGATGCCACACAGCAGTGAAGGAGGAAACGTGCCAAAGAAACACAATTTTTGCCAAGTAGCTACCGTGAAGAAGGCCTTGGACTGTGATTCTCTCAATAAAAAAAAAAAAACTTACAAGAAACAAAAACCTTCCCCTTCAGCCCTATCAGAATGTTTTTTTTTAACAAAGACAAAACATCTCTGTGTATTCTTCTTTAATTAGTTTCTTTTTTAACTTTATATCCTCAAGGTCTGCAATTGTACCTGATTGTTACATGTGCTTTTATTTTTATAACCACATCAGACATTGAATACAATTTTAGTTCACCTGACACCTAATGCACCTGATTTATAGTGCGTTTTTACTTTTTACTGTGTGTTATTATTATATTACTATTTTTAGTTATTGTGAAATATCTGCAGGGGCTCAGTGCTGAGATTTTATGAAAAACAAAAGCATGTAATTATATATTTGTGAGGCCATGTTATAGTCAACACATTTACTATAAAAAACACAGGCTCCATATAAGAAGCAGTTCAGCAACACAGCCGTGATACACTGCACACACAACCAGTGTGGACCAGGTTTAAGGTCAGAAAAGAATAGAATCTTGGAGCTTGAAAGACATTTTGTTCCTCAACTAACATGACAGACACCTGTGAGCATCACTGTATGTTTTTGAGGTTGTTTTTTTTTTTTCAAATTCAGTATTAATGTTGATCTTGCAATGACAGCAAAGGGCTTTGTCTCTTGGCAAAAACTTTTCTATTCATTTTCAAAATCCTCACGTAGTACTTTGTGGCACAAAAGCTATAATACAGATGATGAAATGGAAATGGCTGAAGCCACGGCAGAATACATAACCAGGCTCTTTTGTTGAACCAACCTCTGAAAATATAACTGAAGAATTTCTACAACCTTACAACAACTTAAAGTGGGGCATTCAAGGTCTGTTTAAGGCCTAATAGACTTAATGGAGAGAGACACTTTGTCTTCACATGCTCAACATACGGTTCAGATCCTGTCAGCTGCCTATAGACAAAAGTGTTAAGTGTCTCTTCAGGCCTTGTTTATTTTAAGTGGCGACTGCTTTGAGGAAACCCCGCCACTAAGTCACAAAGAAAGTGTTCCCACCGGAGTCATTTTATTTATTGTGACATCACAACCGAACCTTTCCGGTCACATACTGCATTTTTTGACTCTAAGCTGTTAAAAGTCATATTGACCATCTGTTAAACTGTGCTTTATGTATCTAACAGTCCAGGAGCTTGTTAGCCTGAAGTGTGCTGCGTCTTTGACTGGACCACAGTATTTCTAACCACTATGTTTTTTGGAATAATATTTTTTATTTGTCTTTTATTTTACAATTTAAACACACCTCGACACTGACAGAATGACATCAAACTATTGATTTTTTTTAAATGGTGTAAATTAAAGTGTGTTGTGTCTCTTTCCTTGCTGTTGTCCACTAGGGTTTGCCTCAGTAAATAATCTTATATCTCTAACCATCACGTCCTCTTACAGTTAGAGACCAACTACACCAATATCACAGTAGTGCTACTCTGTCCTGGTCTGCTCCTTCATTCTTGAAGAATAACATCTTTATGAAACCTAATGTTCTGCCCATAGTAATCATATTTTGATCTGTATTTTTGAAAAAGCACAATAAGTTAATGTTTGTCTTTATTTTTTATTTAAAAAGTATGTACGTGGTTTTAACTTAAATTATACGTTTACAGACATCAGACAACAAAGATTTAAATGACTGGACAGTGAGCTCTCTGGAAACATAATAAAGAGAAGAAATTAACGTTACGACTTAGGTTGAGGTTGTTGTGTTGGTGTTTTATACGGAGGCTTTTGTTGCATATTTGCAGTAATATTAGTAATATTTACAAAATTCAAAAATAGATAAATACATTGAAAATTGGTGACAGTTTTATAGTCAACGTGTAACGATACCAATTTTGTATATTTTTTTATTCAAATGCTGTAAGTGTCCAGTGGACTCACCACCCACAGGAAGGTTTGGTACGGTGCAATGTGATTTGGGTGGCGACTGCTGCCCCTGCGACCCGGTAACGGATAAGCGGATGAAAATGGATGGATGGATGGATGCTGTAAGTGACAGGTTCAATAAAATTATCTTGATGATGTTTTTCAAAGACCACTGTCATATAGATACAATTCACTCTATATCACGGTTCTCCTTTAGCTCCCTTTAATCATGTTAATTTTCGCTATATTGTGAAGTATAGCAAAAAATAAACTAAAAAACATTATAAAATAACTATACATACGAAAGTTTTGGCTTTAAAATTGTGAATTCTCCTCTTGGAATTGAGATGAGCGGGATTGCAAACAACTGCTGGTAGCATGGTTTACCCAGACACGATCTTACAGAGCACACTATTGTGTCCAGGTGCATGAATAAAATTGTCACCTTTATGAAACTAGATAATTTACTCATATCTCCATATATAACAATGGATGACAAAAAAGAAATGTGTTTTTTCTGCTTTATTTTTTGTAAAAACGATGTACAAATAATTAACAAACATGTAAAGAATATTTTCTTAAAGAAAAATCCAAAAATAGCCAGTGAGAACTTTGGATCTATTTACAACACTGCAACAATTAACAACATTCATATATTTAATAAGCTGTGACTATTGAGCTGCCACTACATCATGCACCAGCTGAGGTTCCTGAGTTTGTTGAACAGTGGCTCTTGTTGTTGTCAGTGCTGCAATCTCCTGCCTGAAGAAAAGGAAGAAGCATTAGTAATTGTATTAGCACTATTCATGCCAAAAGCTAAATTAAAGAATGCACTGTGGTGGTGCCACAGCCGACAGACAGAAATGTCTCCACTCACCTGCTTTTGTTTCTCTGCAGCAGTTTTCCAAGTGGTGACTCTGGGTTCACACATTTCACCTTGTTCTCCAAAACACTAAAAGACAAAGTTAAAGATTAGCGTCAGTAAGAACACGAGACGACAGAGCACCGTGAATAAACCTGGCTTCACTCGCACTCAGCTTTGTTCACTCACATAATAATCTCCAGCTGAGGACAGAAGGAGCTGGGCTTGTGAAAGACGGGCACAGATATCTTCCGGAGGAGCTCCAGTTTGATGTGACTGATTGAACCGTTCAAACACTTGCATTTTTTTGACCTGTGTGGCTGTGCTGTGGGAAGAAATAAACAAAACAGGAGCTCAAATACAACCACCAGGGTCTGGTATTTACCTTCAGGTAAAATACATTTTAAATATTTAAAACTGCTCATTTTCCTGCAATTCATCAGCTTTTGAATTTTGTTCCTTTCAAATAGATGGAAAAGTTTGGTTTAGCAGAAGTATACAATTATTAACAAAGTTTCTGTAGCAAAGACAACCCCACAATTTATGTCACAAATGCAAATCATTATTTTCTTTGTATTTGGACATTTTATACAGGTGAACAGATGGGTCAACATACCTTGTGCACAGAGGATGAGCAGGCAGCTGAGAAGAACAACAGTGGCTGAGTTCATGGTTCAGGCTGTAGTGATGGCAGAAGACTGGTTCTGGATACTTCTTCAGTCTAACTCCAGATGCCGCACTGAGCAACACTGACTCTGACTCTGACTTTTATACACTGACTTGGGGAAAACCCAACAAGGATGTTGCTGATGCTGCTGTTTTACATCACTTTCACTTTAAGCTTCCACTATAAAGGACCGTTTCCCAGAATCCCAGAATGGATTTTGGTAGAATACTGTAGTGTATTACGTATCAGTTTTTGTTCTCTATAATGTGGAAATAAGCTGTTACAGAAGAGGAAGAAGAAAATGCAAAGTTAACCAAATTGTCTTATTTATTTGTGCAATTGTGCATTTATGTGTTTAATTTTGCTATGCGGCATTGCTGTCATTTATAAATGTTAGACATTGCTGTTGTTATAGATTTGATGCCCTCGCTGCTGGCACTGAAAATAAGAATTAAAAATGAAGAATTAGGTTGTTTCCAGTGGACTCACCACCTGCAGGAAGGTTTGGTATGGTGCAATGTGATTTGGGTGGCGACTGCTGCCCCCGCGACCCGGTAACGGATAAGCGGATGAAAATGGATGGATGGATGGATGGATGGATGGAATTAGGTTGTGATATGGTGGTAACCAACCTATTTCAGATAAGATATGTGAGAATATGCTGATACCTGGAGAATGAAATGTTTGGGTGAGGCCTTGACCCTGTGTGGGCCTAATTACAGCTTGGAATTGTATGGCAGCATACTGTGCTGGTCATATAGGGTCAACACAGAGCAGACTTTTTTATTTGATACTAACTTTAATTTTTTCCAACACATGTCAGTGTGGTCAATATTCTTGTCTTTTAGCAGCCGCTGGAAGAATTGTTTCAGTTGCTCATAAAGCTTTCTCTTTAGTTTTCATGTTCTCCCTCTAAGCGATGTGTTATGCAGGTTGTTTAATTTTCTAAGAAAAAGAAAAGTAACCCTAAAATAAGGAAAACATTAACTAGTTCAGTGGTTCTTAACCTGGGTTCGATCGAATCCCAGGGGTTCGGTAAGACAGTCCCAGAGGTTTGGCGGAGGACAAGACACGATGACACGCCCCCCCTGCTTGGCCATCACCGAAGGGTTCAGTGGATGCACATATGAAACTGGTGGGGTTCAGTACCTCAAACAAGAACCACAGAACTAAACTAATTACACAGTTACATTAACAGCTAATCATGCATATACTTTATTCTATCAAAAAGAGAAATGGGATACCCAAAACAATGAATGTCAATTGCATCATTTTAAGAAGGGGGGGTAGGGGAGGATAAGTAACTGAACCATCACATTTAATGATTAAATGATCAAACTGTCATATTGCCAAGTGGCTCCATTATATGTGAATGTATGAAAACACATCCAATTTAAACAAAATAAATGGGGTTTATATTACTGGATATTGTGACAATTAATTGTTGTTCCAATGTTGGATTCACAGCTGGAAGATTTGATGGACTAAAGAAAGAGTTCAGTGTTGATGGAATGTATCACAGTCTGACAGAGGAAGGAAAGTTCTTCCTTAACCTCTTCCAGCACTTCTTTTTAAAGGTGGTTTATGTACCACATAGTGGTTGTGAGGCTTCTACAGATTGTATTGTGAATATTAATAGGTTTCTGTTGGTTTTTAATGTCAGTTAACATTAACAGTTAAACATTTCCATCCCTGTCAAAAGTATATGGTAAAATAGAAATTGTGAATGCACAAAAACAGAACACGAGAGAAAACAAAACATGGGAGAGTGCCACTGATTTGGTCTCCACAGAGATCCTCGGCACAATCATCCAGAACCAGCATTTACTGAGATGGTGAGAAGGGTTTTGGTTTTCAGTGACAACACTTGACAACAATGGTGGACCTTTTTTTGTTCTTCATGTATTGCTTTGAATTACTCATCTGCTTTGGACCTTTGGAACAGTTACTGTTATAAAGTAAATATAATTCTAGTTATTGTTTATATAATGTTAACATTTCATAACTTGTGTGAAGCAAAAGTGAATTTTTGATAGATTGCAATAATTGTAATTCTTCTTAAGGCCTCATTTTCCTTCCCTTTTCCAAGTCAGACAGTAAGGATATCCGACTTCCTTTAACTGGAAACACTGGCTATTTGCGTCTTAGCTGTGATGCAATTCGTGCTTCTCTTACGTCGTCTTCCTTTTTCTACATCCTCAAGTCTTTCAAATAAATCGTACAGTAAATGTGACATTAAAAAAAACTAGCTAAAGAAAAATAAATGGGATAAAAATGTATCTGCTTTTTGTCAAACAAACATAAACAAGACCTGACTTCTGACTTTTATTTGCAGTTAAATAAAAGTAATTTTAACATTTCCACCTGCAAAGGCCAGAAAATCAACTCATCTACACCATGATGACGATTGACTTGCACCTATAAATACATGTACAACTATAAATACCAGTTCTTAGCAGTGTTGGGCACGTTACTTTGAAAAGGTTATTAGTTAGTTACTAGTTACTTCTCCCAAAAAGTGAGTTAGTAACTGAGTTACTCCACTAAAAAGCAACTAGTTAGCAGGGAAAGTAACTATTGCTTTGCTTTACTTTAATTCAAAGAATCAGATTTTTTTTCAGAGCTGGTTTCACTAGCCATGTGCATAGAGTAGAACAGCAAATATCGGTACCTGAACAGAGGTTTTTATTTATTGCACCTCTGTACTTCAAGTATTTTCTTAAGTGCTTTTAAATCGCTGTGGTGTAAATTAAATGAGTCAAACTTTTACAACCTCAGACAACTTGTGAACACACTGTACATCAAGTATAAAATAAATAGTTTAACAATGTGAGTTTAACAGTTTCATCTTTTTTTCACTGTGTACCCATCTATGTTCTACCGCAAACATTTATTAATTCAGTAAATCAACAATGTTTTTTAGCTTTTTACTAAGGCTGTTATCTCGCCCCTCCCCTTGCCAAAGGGGAATAAACACACATTTGTAGCTCCTGTGTCTGTGTAAGCCAAGTGGGATGACAGCTTCAATAAGTAGCTTCAATAACGCAAAGTAATAGCGTATTGGTGACTGTAACGACTTTATCACAATAGATAAAGTAATTCATTCGATTATCTGTTACTGAAAAAAGCAACGCCGTTATTCCCATCACTGGTCCTCAGTATGTATAACAGCAAAATAATGTTCAAGATGAGTCATGGCTGGGGTTAAGGTCAAGGTTCCCACTTAAACCACGTGCATGTGATAACAGCACTATACTGTGGCCACATGTGTTACTGCAGCAATCCCTTATAGTCAACAACAAGGTATTCCTAATTGGGAAGCTCTGGTTCTGTAAAAAAAAAAAGAATGTAAGAGGCATGACTGGAGTCAAACAGAGATATGCTGTGATTTTCCATGTCATGTGATTGGCCACGTGCGTTATGTGATGTCACATGTAAGTCATTCTGTATCACAGGTCAGTCCACCTGGAATAAAAGCATTGAAGGGACGATTCTAGAAGAAGGCAGCAATGCAGTATGAAGTATATAATGAAGCCTAATTGGCTGCATCTGTCGTGTGACATGTTCCTTATGCCACTGACATCATGGTGAGCTAAAAATGCTGAAGAAGAAAGCTACTGTAGGTCAGTACAAACCAACCATTCTTTAAATACTGACCTTTGATGCTGCACTTTGATGTGACAGTGACATCATGTAAGTACTACTTCAGTAGAAAGCAGTTATGATACCTTGCTGATCCTCACTACCATGAACGTACGCTGCCAATGAATAAAGTAACCGATCAACCGAATAGCCAAGGTTTTTAGGACTATTATAAGACTTGTATCAGATGGAGGTGACAACAACAAGAAGAGTAATGGATTCCAGGGTAAATGCAGAGACAATGAATCTGGAGCTGCCAAAGATGTCGGTCGACACTGTTCGCCCACATGTAGAATCCTTTACGCAAGGTTTGACTGTGGATCAGTGGAACTTGTTAGCAGTAGGTAAACCGGATAATGACACCAGACTTAGATTAGCTGACATGCTGGTCAAAGTTCTCTGTAGCGTCGTGGACATCATGTCAGATTTTCTGAAACAGGAAGATGCGGTCGAGCGCCTGCGCGACACTCTGGATGAACCGATCACACGCAGTTTTGCAGAGGCTTTGGGTGTTGAGACAGTCAAGGGCCCCAGCTCTGCAAAGTTGACAGAATTGATTGCAAAAGAAGTCACCGCTCCATCTGGCTATGGGCAGCCCAAGCCATCCAAATCCATGATCCATTCCGTGTGCAAGATGCTGAAGAGATTTGCAGCCAAGATGTGTTGTACAGTAAAACGAAACGGCGGACAAAACCAAAATAGCAAGGTTGTGAAAGATCTAGAGTCACCAATAACACCAATAACACAATCGGTCCAGGATATCATTAATAACGAGGTGAGGTCCATTATCGAACCCATTTTGGAAGATGTTTCGGACAGTGAGTACGACCAACTGCACGAGCAGTTTACTTTGGAGATTCAACGTGCTGCACAGGACATTGCTCACTCTGTTAGCGAGTACATAAATTTAAAAGAGGTGGAATCATTTTATCCTAGTCCAAAGACACAGCAGCAGACTCAAAAGGGGCTAAAGACAAACATTTGTAACTTTTTTGTCAAGATGTTTGCTAAGGCAGGGATTTGCAGAGTGTTTTCGCAAGTCAAAATGAAGTTTCGCAGCGAGACCAAAGTTGGAGATAATGACTCGGTGAAGTCACTGTTGGTGGACGCGGAATCTGTGCTTCAGAATGGTGTAAAAAATGAAATGGGTGAAGGTGATGTTTGTATCTATCGCAGGCTTGAAAATATTTCTTCTGACGATGTTCTTGAATTGACAGGGAAACTCAGTGATCTCCTGTACAGCCGCATCACAGGTGAGACTGCTTCAGAGGCAGTCAGGGGGGCGTCACCTGGGAGAGCGGTGTTTGACAATCAGCCATATGCGAGCATGTATGCGGACATACAGCACAGAGTGATTTGTTTCCTGTCACTGATGAGCTGGTGGCTGGAAAATCAGGTCCAGTGTTACAGTGACAGAGTAATTAATGCTTTAATTGACACAGAGACAGTGCCAAAACCACAGATCTCAGAGGTCACAGCAGGTGAGGAGCCAGAGGCAGCCAGTGGAGAAATCCCTCAGGAGGATGTAGCACAGGCAGAAGTTAGTCGGACCTGTCTGAGGCTCGTCATTTCAACGCTAATCAAAAAAATTTGGAAAACCGTAAAAGGAGACAGGACCTTTTTCACAGACCTGGAATTCACCATTCAACGTCTGGTGGATGAAATCTGGGCTCAACTTGAAGGCACCCAGGTAGACATCACACCAAAAAATGTTGAGAACCTCTGCAAGGTCATCTTCCAGCACCTCTTTAAGAAGTGGGGCTCTGCAGCCAGAATCCTGATCTCCATAGAGAGAGGGGACCCAGATCTGCCGAGATGCATCGCTGTTTCTTGTAAGACTCATTTGAACAAACAGCGGCGTGACTTCTTCAGATTCCTTTCGACGTAAGGACGGAGCACCCTTACAAACACACACACAATGCTTCGGCCTTCCCCGGAAGGGATTGAAATGGCCTCATAGAGCTATGATGGGATGGAACTATAGGTTAAGTTAAGCTCCTGAGACCTCATGTTCACATTTGTAGATGTGTTATACTTAACTCCTCTTAACTTAGACCCACCCCCAACAAGAAAATGGACATTTTCTGTTCAATCTAGTCTTAGAAAAACACGTTGTGCACAACAGTGTCAACAGGTGGCAGTCTTGTCTGTTAATATATTTACCGCAGAGTAATTAAAGAGGAACAGGAACACATGTGGCATGTGGCATGCAACTGTGATAGACATGATAGACGTTCACACAAATGGGGTAAAGTCAGCTGTGCAGTAACTGGATAAAAAGGCTGAAGCCAGCAACATGCTGTGATCCTTGATTGTGTTGCGAGACTTCATCCTATTTTTATCTGTAGAAATTAGGTATGTGTAATTTAAAAAGATAATTTAATGTAAATTTACTTTTTTAATTATTATTATTTTTCATGTGAGCATGAATTTGAATAAACCCAAACCACTGTCTTCACCAAGCACCTGCAGTGTGTCAGCAACCATCCATGTTTGGCTATTCCAACGTGGAACAAAAGAGAATCACAATCCTGTATACTACATGGAGTGCAGCACCAACCATTAAGGTAGAGGGTGCTGTAGGTGTCATACATATTTGTTTTTTAGGTAAAATGTATTTTTCATTTCCCAAATGTTTTTCAATTTTTATCTAAACTGGCCCCTTCAAAGAGGATGTCTTTGCACCACAAGAAGTTGCAATACATTTTATTTTTTGGTGAACTATTTGCCTGTAGATGACTATTAACATGTAGATGAGTCACTTTTTTTTTTATTAAATTGCACCAGAAGTTTCTAAGTTAAATTCAACAATATATGGTTTATTTATTTATTTATTAAAGGTTGCAAATATAAGTGTGTTCAATAACCTGAACTTCAAGTTAAGGTTTGCAGAGTGGACTGGTTTACTCCTGTGCTCTTGTCACAGAATAACAAAATGAAAAACGTGTGATGTGCAACAGGAGGAGAAAGATGAATTTCTCTAAGAAAACACTCAGGAATGCAGTGTCAGACCTCCCATTAAAAGTGTGTATGTCTGGGTAAAGCACAGAGAAATGTGCTCTTAAACAGTAAACAGAAGATAATCTGATACCTAATATCTCCAGAAATTAATCTGAATTGTATTTAAACTGGTTTATTTTACTCCTTGCAGATGTTAGTGAAACTCACAATATGATTATTGTGCACATTGTTGCATATTGTCATTCTTTCTTTCTTTTTTGCAAAATCAATAAATATAATACATTTTTCCTCTAAATTAGGACTTTCTCATCAGGAAAATGATTTAGCGTTGATTCTTGGTGGGGTGGGGGGGTATAATTATGAGCGTTTTGTTTGTTCGTTCGTTTTAGCATCTAGCTATTTAAACATCTCTGTCAATCACTCTCCGTGAACTAATATTTCGCTTCGTTCTCGCAGATTCGTTTCATTTGTCACGTGACAGAGAGCTCGAGTCTTTTTTTGCTCTCATTCATCTTCACATTGTGGTGTGTTTTTATTTCTTAGCTTTTCGCATGGTTATAATTGCTTATGGCATTTTGTGTACTTTGTAGTGATGTGTCGTTCGCGAGTGATTCGTTCAAAATCAACGATTCTTTCATATGAGTCGTGACTCCCGGGTCTTATGAAAGATTCGTGACTCGTGACTACCGAGTCATATTAAATATTTATTCATATTGAACTCACGAATCACTCACAAATCACGCACTGCGAACTAATCACTCACTGCGAACAAATCACTCTCTGCAAACTAATCTTTCACTGTGAACTAATCTATCATTGCAAACGAATCACTCTCTATGAACTAATCGTTCATTGCAAATGGATCACTGTGAACTAATCTTTCCCCGTGAACTAATCATTCTCTGTGAACGAATCATTCTCTGTGAACTAATCTTTTGCTGTGAACTAATCACTCTGAACGGATCATTCTCTGTGAACTAATCTTTTGCTGTGAACTAATCTTTTGGAGTGAACTAATCACTCTGAACGGATCATTCTCTGTGAACTAATCTTTTGCTGTGAACTAATCTTTTGGAGTGAACTAATCACTCTGAACGGATCATTCTCTGTGAACTAATCTTTTGCTGTGAACTAATCACTCTGAACGGATCATTCTCTGTGAACTAATCTTTCGCCTCGTTCTCGCAGATTCGTTTCATTTGTCACGTGACAGAGAGCTCGAGTCTTTTTTTGCTCTCATTCATCTTCACATTGTGGTGTGTTTTTATTTCTTAGCTTTTCACATGGTTTTAATTACTTATGGCATTTTGTATACTTTGTAGACTTTGTCAGCGGAAGCAAACCATGTTGCCTTATTTAGTGTCGGAGAACCGCAGCCTTCTTTACAACGCCCACAATAGGGCTAAAGCGCCATCTGCTGTAAAACGAATGAAATGATTAGTTCTTGTTCACGACTCGTTCATTTTACTGTTCGAGAGTCAAAGATTCGAATTAATAAAAACAGTCAGTCTTCCCATCAGTAGTTGTAAAACGAATGAAATTAGTAGTTCAAAATTCGTTCACGACTCGTTCATTTTACTGTTCGAGAGTCAAAGATTCGAATTAATAAAAACAGTCAGTCTTCCCATCAGTAGTTGTAAAACGAATGAAATTAGTAGTTCAAAATTCGTTCACGACTCGTTCATTTTACTGTTCGAGAGTCAAAGATTCGAATTAATAAAAACAGTCAGTCTTCCCATCAGTAGTTGTAAAACGAATGAAATGATTAGTTCAAAATTCGTTCACGACTCGTTCATTTTACTGTTCGAGAGTCAAAGATTCGAATTAATAAAAACAGTCAGTCTTCCCATCAGTAGTTGTAAAACGAATGAAATGATTAGTTCAAAATTCGTTCACGACTCGTTCATTTTACTGTTCGAGAGTCAAAGATTCGAATCAATAAAAAGAGTCGGTCTTCCCATCACTACTTTCAAGTCTTCTGCGAGTGCGAATTGGAAGAAATGTATTAATGCATTTGAAGGCATCACGGCGGATGCGCGACGTGCTGACGTCACGGAGTAGAATTTGTCTCAGTCAACAGGAGTATCAGCAGCAGCATTCAGTACGTGTGTTGTTTGGTGTGCAGCAGCGGGTTAACAGAGCTTACAGAGGACGCTCACATCATCTCTGCTTAATTTATCTGCCTCGTCGCTTCTGTTTATTTTTCATTATCTGCGCTTTCTCCTCCTCGACCACCACACAGGGATGGGGGAATGATCTGGACAGACTCGCCTCCACCTCCTCCATCGTTCGGTCTCCTTGTACCCTGACAGTCGTCGCAGCTGTGCCCAGGATGTGGGCCCCGCTGTTCGGCCAGGCTGCAGTGTTTGCGGCCCTTTGGACGATTAGCACCTGTCTGACAGGTAAAGAGACCTGCTGTCTGTTGTTATTCCATGTGCTGCCGGTGTGAAGCCGGTGTGAAACAGCATCATCATCACCGTCGTGGTGATGACGACCACGATGATGTAGAGAATAACTTCAATTAGGTGTACAAATATACACAATATTTCGTTTTTTTTTACCTGGACTCCTAAGAACATGTTAAACGATAATATTTGCAATGGCAATTGCTCACCACACAGTCCCACCGATTCATTTCAAAGCAGTGCTCCAACAAAGACCTGTTGTTCTCCTCGTCTTCAAGTAGTAATCCTAAGGTAGCCTAGCCGATGTAAAGTGAAATGACAGGATGACACTCTTCAACTTGGCTTTGCTCACTGTTTCATCCTCAAAATGCTACTACAAGTGCAATGCAACACTAGCCAGTTTAATATGAGTCACCAATGGGCTCAGACTAGCAAGCATGTTTTGGTCAATTGCTTCTGACTCTGGTTCTAACCTGTGTCGTTCTAGTTAGATGGACGAATGAATGTCAATATCAAGTTAAAGCTAAAGATATTTGCATACATGTTTACAAAATGTCTTGTTGGTCAGCTGCAGCCCAGTGTTGTTTAATACACCTTGCTTGTTTTGGACTTTGTTAAAGCAACAATTAGAACAAGACATGGATTGTGCATGACTGCCATGTTAAAAAAAACAAAACAAGATAGAGCAGATGATACAAGTCTTTCTTGGTACGGCAGCCATTTCCAAGTTGCTGCAGTTTACATTGCACATATTATTGCATGTTTAAATTTGGAGGTTGTATCAGCTTCATCAATATTGTTTTTGAAGCAGTCCCAATGCAGGATTTGCAGAGGCCATATTTCTTTCTTTCTATATTTGTTGTTTAACACAGCATAACAAAGACTGATTAACATTCTGGGTTTACATTCAGGAATATGTTTGGCTCTGTTTATTTAGATGACGAATGGTGACAGTTATTATTTAAAAAAAATACAATCCAGAGAATAGGAAAGTATCTAATAAAAATCCCTAAATATAAATTATTTATCATAATATAAAGCACTGGCAGTTTAGAACTGTCAGTGAGGGTCCCTCAAAATGGGTGACCACCAACACTTGTTGTTAGAGGCTTAAAGATAGTGGCAACATTATTGGACAACACCACTGAGTCGCCACATATTTTCTGCAGCGCCCACCTTTGGTAGCTAGAACTTGTCAAGACCCCCAACAAACAGCGTTGGACTCTATTTCAACACTGTTATACCTAGAAAAAAATATGTCATTAATATTCAACAAAGAAAAAAGTATTACATGTACTTCAATGTCCTGGCTGTGCCCCCCTGCCATAGCTGAGGAGCTGTGCACCCGACACTTTGGGGAACAGTGCACTAAGATAACATTTTATCAATGCAGCTCAGCTTTAGTGTAATGTCGGTCACGACCACTCATTCACGAAGACCATGTTGTCTGAGGGCTTTTCTACCCGATCATCTGGTTTTTTACGTCGTCTGCATTCACAATAGAGCAGTTGACAGTGAGGTGGCAGTTTGGATGATTCAGTATGAGAGATGTAGATGTTTTCCAAGTGTGTCACCATGTGTTAGTGCTGGTTATCACAACTGATGTGTTTGCTGTGGCTCTGGCCCTTCTCAGAAACATGTTCCTGCTGTCAGAGCTTCTCAGTCAGTGACATCAGAGACCACTTCATGTCACAGAGTTTGCATGAATCCGACCGTTTAAGAGCCATGATATCCAGAGCTGCCTGTGTTATCTTTACAACAATGGAAAGAATGCTTTTGGGTAATGTCTCTTGAAAAAATGTGTGTGAAAAAAGATGTCAAAGGAAAATAGTAATTCTGTACATGGAAACAGGTTTGTTTACAAGGACAGAAAAACCCCATTGAAGTGTAATTAGTAACCACAGGCATGATGCATTCCTGAAATCTTTAAAGCAAAGGTCTTAAACTCCTGGCCCGCAGGCCATGAACTGCTCACACTCTCGACCAACCTCTTGGTGTCAATAAAGAATTTAATCTGTCACTTGCTCCTATTGTTCGGCCCTCTAATGAGATGGCACTGTCAGCGGTGGCCCCCCCAGCTTGTATTGTTTGAGACCCCTGCTCTCAAGCATTGTGAACTTTTGAGTTGATTATCCCCCCCCCCCTTTTTTAAAATTCTACTCACAAAAAATGAACCTTCAAATGCTCCAGTTTCTTGCCATTGTACATAATTAGAATTGGTTCTGTTTGCTACTATTATACTTTTTATATTGAAAAATGCTTGAGCTGACAACTTAGGATCCAAAAAACCTCAAGGAGAAAGAGAAACCTTACCTAAAATATAGGTGCTAAGTATAGTGCACAGCGTTGCTATTTTCAAGGATGTACAGCTCCAAGAACAGAAGGCAAAAACGTTGAGTGTCAATGTCGTGCGGCATGTTACTACATACTGTTAATTCTTTTCCTGAGAAATACATGCAGTGTAGTCATACATACATTTGTATCATCATTTTATTATTGTAAACCATGGTCAGACTTGCACTGCAGAGTTAAAGCTGTAGGACCATACTGCATCAAAGGGTCTCTGCTGGTTGACATTTCCCTCCCAGATATTGTCACAGCCGCTTTAGGCTGGATTTTGTCTTCTTCTGCTGAATGTCACTTTACGTCAGGACTCGAGAAAAAAAAACTTATTTGCATTCTCCATCACGATGACTGCTCTGTGTGGAGCTGTGCAAAAACACAGACATCATAATGCTTGAAATGTTAATGGGGTAAAGTGGACGGCAGGGTGCTATTTCAGTTATGATTCATTAAAATAGACTTAATCACCGTCATTTACTGACACCCAGTGGTCTGTTATTTAAAAAAGATGAGCATGAGCTTAAATGGAATGTAATAATTATCCATCACAACGATCTGACAGAAGGTTTGTATGTATTTATATGGATACACCTGCTGGAATTTTGAATGCACGAATCAGAAATAGAAAGTTGTACTCATTGTTGCTTACTGAGCCTGTGACTCACTTAAAGTAAAGACCTGAGCTGTTGTTTTTCCTTTAGCCAAATAGAGGAGGCAGATACAGCACTACTGTCTTTAATGTCAAATGATGGTAAAATGTAAAGGTGATGTTGATTACGTACTATTATTTTATATTCTTCTACAGTAGATGCATGTTCCTAGTAAATCATTTTATTTTCAAAGAAGAAATCTTAATGTTTCCAACACATACAGTATAAATACCTTCCTAAACATTCAACATTGTGTTGTTGTCTTGTCTTTGGAAGTTTTACTCCTTCAACCTGGCCATTATGGACCGTTCTGTAGTAGCTGTTTTTTGTTTGCTCAAAATATTAGTGCAAGTGCTGTTCAACATGAACAAGTTCCAGTGTTTCTAAGGGGAGTCACATACAGTACTTTTATTCTGTTTAAAGTCACTATTAGTGTCGACAGCTGTCTAGACCTCAGCACTGACTGGTGTACTGTACATGTCCATCAGGGAGACCTTATACTGGAAACTTCTACAAAAAGTGGGACAGAGAGATGGTCATTTTACCAAGACTGCCTAAAAACAAATTAATACATGTTACCTGGACTTGTAATTTTACAACGTACAGGCTAACAGTCTGCACACAGAGTTTTGTAGTAACTAAATAACCAAGGAAAAGTAGGCCAATGCTGCAAGGTGTTCATATGTTTCTTCTTTTTATTCTTACTGACCTCAAGCAACAGTGACACATTGAAAACATGTCAAATAGGTCCTCGAACCAACATTTACCTTCCTTACCATTTAATCACCTATGTTATTCTATCTCTATTCTAGTCGTGTGTATGTCTTATTTTATTTAGTGAAGATTGAGTACAGTATGTGTCTCTTGCAGAGGCAGAAACTTTTTTTTCAATGTAAGTTGCAGCAGCAAAAATGATGTAACAAAGAGTATTGAGGGCAATTCATGTCATGTCTCACTTGAGATAAAGTCAATGAGGAAGCAGAACAAAGTGCTTTCATTTTCTTTGACCGAACACAAGGTAATTGGTTGCCAGGAAACAGCGGCTTTTTTACAGATGTCAATGTTGTACATGAGTGCTGTACTCAGGAGTACGAACCACGTATACGTTTTTGCAGTGCCTTCAACAGCAGCCATATTTAAGATACTCTCAGTTTGATGTGCGAGAAAATATTCAAAGCTGTAGGTTTTACGTCTTTTCGTCTTCTCTTGCGCTGCTGAGTTTAGTGACTTTTGAAACTGACCTTGTCAGAGTTTCTCTTACTTTCCATGCCAAACTTTACTTCCCCTCAAGGTGGTGCTGTATATGCAGTTTATATGTCCTCATCCATCTTTGAAATTTGCTGGCACACCGTTTTAATTTGGCCTTACAAGCAATTAAAATGTTTAATCTGATTAATCATACAAAAGTTGTGGATTTATCACAATTAATCCTGACTAATCGTGGTTGTAATTAATCATGATTAATCGTGATTAAATCTACAACAGATAAATGGACCTTTCCAAATATGACAAACTCTTTTTTGAATATTGATTGATCAGAAAGAAAAATATTAGCAGATGGATCTATGTGTTTCACATGGAAAAATGTCAAGAATAATATTTTGCTCTGTAGATTTGGGACATATTTGCATTTAATACAAGTTCAAACTCCATTAAAATAAATAATTTGTGATGTAACAAATAATATCACAAATAATTTTACAAGTATGTTCCACAACACAAACTCACAGCTTAAATAAATCTCTGTTTTTTTTTAACAACCCTTTTTTCACAGATCAACTTTTCCACTTTCCGTTGTTTGCAGACAGCAAGGCCAAAAACAAAATACAAACAGTGGCAGAAAAACAAACTACTATACTATAATATTTTTTGCAACCCTTTGAAAATGACTGTAGGTCTCACTTTGTATCATTTTGCAGCCAGTTTCTTTTTTTCTCCTGCAGACAAAGCTGATGCCCTGCTCTCTTCAGCTCTTCTTTCCACTGTGTGGTTGTGGTTGTTGTAATCTCTAAAGTCTCTGTGTGAGATGGAAAATGTTATCTGTTGGAGTCATGACATTAACAGGGTGAAGCCAGCCTTTCCTTTCTGAGTCCTAACGTGATTAATTTGGATATTTTGTATTCCTTAAATTTCATTTATCATTTCTTTGAGTCTGGTGATTCTAAAAGGCAATATGAATACAACAACATGACAGTACTTTTATGCTTTTCTCGGGTGTTTATTGTCTTTTGCCTTTTTTACTCAGTACAACAGTCTCAGACAAACCCTCTCATCCATGACTTGTACATCCGTGTGGTGACTCACACCCGTGATGATGTCACACCTCCTCAGTTGCCATAGAAGTTGTCATAGCAACTATTGTCTTGGTGCAATTAGCAGAGACTGGAGCGACTGGCGAGGAAGTTGAAGGGGTTAATATTGATAGTTGCCTACAATTATTTTTCCTTTCTTGGTCGTTAAAGCTTTGGCAGACTCTGCAGCTTTGATTTTTCTCCCTCATTGTTGCTGCTGCTGCTGCTGCTTCTGGTGCTCAGATGGTCTTTTCTAAGCAGAACAACAAGTGTGACGATAGTCCCTGTGGGCAGCAGGATGTGCAGCAGTGCCTTGACTTTGTCAGTGAGAGCACGGCTGGGGTTTTAATGAAGACCAAATCTAACTAATCCCCTTTAGCCCTTTACTTTTAGGTGATATATTCTATTAAAGAGATGCTTTAATTAACTCCATATGTCAAACCATTGATTTTCTTTTTCCTGCATTTATCCAGCCAGACAATAATGTCACATCATTCAGTGGCTTAACACCTCCAGGTATAGCTCATTAGTATCATATCATGGTTATGGCAACCATTAAAATGATTGAAATTTGTTATGGTATCATTTTATATTTCAGCTTTGAATAGAAGGGTTGTTTGGAATTTCATTTGCAGCAGTTTAAAAGGAAGGTTCATGCTAGTATTAGCACTCCAATTGTCTACTGATAGCTGATAGTGAAGTATTGATTGAAACACCATCTGCCTTACGATCAGTTAGCTCACCATGGTCAGATTAATTTGGAGATGGTGCATCAGAAAGTTGATTCAAAGGTTACTAAAAGAACATGGCATTTAATGCAAGAACTTTTTTGTAACCCACACCACCATCCCCCAAAACATTCATAACAGTACATGACAAAACTCATCTTACCTTGTCCTTAAGTTGCCATAAGAAAGTAAACTGTAAAATGGTGGCCTGCTGAAATAGCTGAAATTGCAGTTTAATTTAAAATTCTGTTGGCTTGAGTTTTTAACACTGTTTCTTTAACTACTTTACAACTATTACAGTCTCCTGCTAAACCCTCAGGAAACTTTGTTTTTTCATATTATATAACACTGCTTACTGTACATCATGGGAATGAACACCACTGCCGGAGGTCTGGTTTCTGTCTTTTGTCAGTTCTCAACTTACAAGTGCATTTTTCTCATCTGGCATTTGAAACAAACTGCCATTAATTGCTGTGGTGTGTGACCTTCAGCTCCATTGGAGGTGTCATTAAAGACCTTTAAAGTGAGGTTAAACCATGTTCTTCTTCTCATGTAATACAATTAACCTTTATGAATTTCCACAGATCCTTGACTTACCTACATGCAAAATATTGTCATGGCACATTACCTCACATATTATTCACAATTGACTCAGTTAAATTGACTGATATTCAATTAATATAAATTTAGACAAAAATAAATAAAATAAACTAGACTAGTCTACAACTCAGTCACTGTGCTGTGTTTGTCTCTCTTCTCAGGATCCCACTTATGTCCTCGAAGTTTAGACTGTGCTCAAGCAGGACGACACTTCTGCCAGCCAGGCCGTTCACACTGTGGCCCCTGCCTGCACCATCTGGTGGAGAACTCTAATGGCCAATGTGTGGTCAAAAGAAGACACGTTGCTCACTCAGCTCACCTGGATAAAGGTAAGTAGGAGGTCCAGATTATGGTGATGTAAAAGGTTCATTATTCTGTTCTTTATGTGCCATGGACTGGCTTCATGTAGGATGGTATTCTGATAGGTCGGTCGTCAAGGTTTAAAAACAAAATATTATAACTTGGATATTAAAAGTAAAGCAATTGGCACATGTTATGTGAATGCTATGTAAATGTTATGTGTGGCGAGACACAGGAATCACAGGGGACAAATGAAGGGTAATAATCTCTCCTTCTCTAAAGCTCTCTGCCCATATTGACAAACCTTTTATTGCATTTATGTTCTGCAGCAGTTTTAGTGGTGGCCCTCATTTCATTATCTCCAAAAGCTCAGCCAACTGCAGAATGTGTCGCCTCAGCAGAGTGCCTCTAAAGACAGAGTGTGGTTGCAGAATGTTAAATGACCCTTCTGTGCTTTCCCTCCAAACAGTGTGTGTTTCACCAAAGTGTGACATCATAGACTCCCAGTGGGTTTTATTGCTGTGGTCCAGCTGGGACTTGATCACAGCTTGATGACTTGATGTGTGTCATAGCTGATTTCTTACGCCTAATCATCTTTGTCACTGCCTGTTCTTCTGCTGACTCTGAACTAGCAGTGAATCACTTAGCAGCAAGTCCAAGTCAAGTGTTTTAGTTGTAAATTCAGACATGAAATCAGTATCAGAATTTACATAAATTATGAAATAAAATAGATTAGATTAGATTAAAATGTTTCACTTAGCTTCAATGTTCTTTTTCTTTATTAAACACTCCCTTTAGAATCACATAATTCTGTCAGAAAAGGGCCCAATATTTAGAGATTATGAAATTAATGTCACAATCTAAAGAGAATTAAGATTAAAAGTCCCTTATTCGTCCCATAGTGGGGAAATTCAAGAAAAAAAAAAGAAAAGAAAAAAAGGATATGACTTTTACCATTTACCATAAAAGCTAAATATGTCATTCACTTCGATTTATAACATTCTTCTAACTCCCGGTTATGTCTATTTCTGACAACATTAGCTTGACTTCTCTACCTCACAATTTCATTAATATTAAGCTGTTTATTTGCATTTACTTTTCTTTGGTCGTTTGAAGCGCAGATATTATGCTGTTATACATGTGTTTTTATGAATCCAGACATAGGAGGAGAAAGAGGTGTCTCTGTGTCCTGTACAATGCACAATCCACCAAGATACTTTTCAGCTGACTGTTCTCTGCTGCTGCAGAAACATTTTCATTCATGGGTTTTCCTCATTGCCCACCTACTCCTTTTTTTCTGTCCCTCATCCCCTTCTCCCTCCATTTGTTCTCCCATTTATTACTGTACAATCTGCCCCCGCACTCAGAGCAGACACACATTCTCTCCACACACACACACACTGCAGACCCTGTCTTTATTTACCCACTCACAGCCTACTTGGATACCACTACTCTAAATGTAAAAACAACACGCACTTGTCCTCATTTCCAGTCCATGCTCATAGTTAGTTACACGTTTGTCCTCCCACGTTTTCCACTGCAGCAGTGAGGTGGGCTGCAGTTCAGCTGATGATCTACTCATCACAACAAACCACAGCTGTGTGCTCTGCTGTTGTACCTTAGTTGTGTTTATTATCTAATTTCATCTCTTTTTTAATCTTCTTTCACCCGTGCGACATTGCGCTTTGTGGGATTTAGCGACATCCAGTGGTGACGTGGCATGATTACTGTGTCTGTTCTTGAACACTGCATCCACACACAGAGAATAACATTTAGGTGCCATTCCCATTTCAGTTGTCAACTGTGTGAAAACGACACTTTTGTAATTATAGTGGTAACGTTTTGTTTATTTACAGCAACAATTGTTTTGGTTTTTTTCTCTCATATAGATTTTACACGAGGTAGCTTGTTATTATATGACCAAAATTGTGACTTCATACAAAATTGTAGATGATAATGGGTGATGGAGTTTGTAGAAGATCCAGGATTTTTTCTCTGTTGTTTTTTGCTCTGATGTCACACACAAAGGAAAAAAAACCCTTGAAATCCTGCCTGTTTCTAATTGATGGCATTACTCAGAGTAAAGGTCAATCCCTGCTCTAAACAGAGCATTTGTTGATGGATTGTGGTTTTTCTTCTCCTGCAGGTAAGACGAGCACGCACCCAGAGCTTGATGAGGAGATCGACTTCCTGTCTGCCATTATTAGTCAGCAGAGAACACTGTCCAGGTTGCCAGGTATGTTATTCTCTCCTTATTTACCACTGCTCCCTCCAATAACAGCTAAGAATCTACAGTGGGTACAGAAAGTATTCAGACCCCTTTAAGTTTGTCACTCTTTGTTTCATTGCAGCCATTTGCTAAAATCAAAAAAGTTCATTTCATTTCTCATTAATGTACACTCAGGAGCCCATCTTGACAGAAAAAAATGTAGACATTTTTGCAAATTTATTAAAAAAGAAAACCTGAAATATCACATGGTCATTAGTATTCAGACCCTTTGCTCAGTATTGAGTAGAAGCACCCTTTTAGCTAGTACAGCCATGAGTCTTCTTGGGAATGATGCAACAAGTTTTTCACACCTGGATTTGGGGATCTGAACGGATCATTCTCTGTGAACTAATATTTCGCCTCGTTCTCGCAGATTCGTTTCATTTGTCACGTGACAGAGCTCGGGTCTTTTTTGCTCTCATTCATCTTCACATTGTGGTGTGTTTTTATTTCTTGTTCCAAAGCTACTTCTTTGTTATTTTAGCAGTGTGCTTAGGGTCATTGTCTTGTTGGAAGGTGAACCTTCAACCCAGTCTGAGGTCCTGAGCACTCTGGAAGAGGTTTTCTTCCAGGATATCTCTGTACTTGGCCACATTCATCTTTCCTTCAATTACAACCAGTCGTCCTGTCCCTGTAGCTGAAAAACACCCCCATAGCATGATGCTGACACCACCATGTTTCACTGTTGGGATTGTATTGGGCAGGTGATGAGCAGTGCCTGGTTTTCTCCACACATACCGCTTAGAATTAAGGCCAAAAAGTTCAATCTTTGTCTCATCAGACCAGAGAATCCTATTTCTCATAGTCTGGGAGTCCTTCATGTGTTTTTTGGCAAACTCTATGCGGGCTTTCATATGTCTTGCACTGAGGAGAGGCTTCCGTCGGGCCACTCTGTCATAAAGCCCCGACTGGTGGAGGGCTGCAGTGATGGTTGACTTTGTGGAACTTTCTCCCATCTCCCCACTGCATCTGTGGAGCTCAGCCACAGTGATCTTTGGGTTCTTCTTTACCTCTCTCACCAAGGCTCTTCTCCCAGGATTGCTCTGTTTGGCTGGACGACCAGGTCTAGGAAGAGTTCTGGTCGTCCCAAACATCTTCTATTTAAGGATTATGGAGGCCACTGTGCTCTTAGTAACCTTAAGTGCAGAAGATATTTTTTGTAACCTTGGCCAGATCTGTGTCTTGCCACAATTCTATCTCTCAGCTCTTCAGACAGTTCCACTGACCTCATTTGCTCTGACATGCACTGTGAGCTGTAAGGTCTTATATAGACAGGTGTGTGCCTTTCCTAACCAAGTCCAATCAGTTTAATTAAACACAGCTGGACTCCAATGAAGGAGTAGAACCATCTCAAGGAGGATCAGAAGAAATTGACAGCATGTGAGTTAAATATGAATGTCACAGCAAAGGGTCTGAATACTTATGACCATGTGATATTTCAGTTTTTCTTTTTTAATAAATTTGCAAAAAAAATCTGTAAAGATGGGCTCCTGAGTGTACATTAATGAGAAATAAAAAGAACTTTTTTGATTTTAGCAAATGGCTGCAATGAAACAAAGAGTGACAAATTTAAAGGGGTCTGAATACTTTCCGTACCCACTGTAGATTGTTTTTTTTCTCTAAGCTCCAGCCTCACAGGTCTTTGAATCCCAGCCTGAGCAGCAAGGTGAGACCACGAATGACCAGAGAGCATCTGTCATAGCCTCTATGACCAACCAGAGTGTCCCTTCCACCAAATCCACACCAACCACCACTACAACAAACAGCACCACAAACCACACGTCCCCACTCTTCGAGGATCCCGTCATCCCTCTCTCCCCTCCCTCTGATTGGTGAGTCATTCCTGGTGCTGTCGCCCAGTTTAAAGGACACACACACAAATAAACATTCATAGGTAGCAGTGATGGGATGTGATGATGGGAAAAATGTTTTTTTATTTAAACCTAGAATTTTCATGGTCTCAAATTTAAATCTGACCTTTAAAGTCTTTAGTTTCTTTCTGCACATAGCTGCAGGATCCCTGTTGGTTTTTGAAAAGATAAATATGTGCAGCATGTATCAATGGTATTAGAGCTGGCCTCTACTTCCTCTGAGGATCAGTAGACAGGTGTTGATAAAGAATGACCCAACTTCTTCTACTGACAAAGAATAGCTTGCCTATTCATTTTACACTATCAAAATGTAAAACTTGCAGAACAAGGTCCAGAGCTGTAAAGTTATTTAGTTAATTTTTCAGATCAACAACATAGTGTTTTGTCTCATTTCACTATCTGTATTAGTCAGGTGAAAATAGTTTTAGCCAATAAGTGTTAGAAATAATAAGTGAATAAGCTAATGGCTAACTTGCTAATAAGCATTTGAGGGACTATTATATTGTTTGTCAAATGTCTTTATGAAATAAAAGTCCCATCGTAAACATCACATGTACATGATGTGAAGTCATTTTTTATTTACACAGACATCAGTAGACTGTGTTCTTGTAAAAAGAAAGCGGAACTTTAAATAACCAGTTCTGGAAAAAATAAACAAAAAGAAAGCTGTTACACATCTGGTCCCCGCTTTTCCTTAGCGTTGATTCAGTCATCGTAGTTTATATAAAAAAAACACATTAACAAATACATTTCAAATATATGAAATTATGATATTATATAATTTACTGGGAACAAAATGTTACTGTGGCAGCACTTAGCAGAATGAACCCTTTTGTGAGAACACAGTTTTCTGTCAAATCTCGGGACAGACCTCAGATTTAGCATGCAGCAGTTGACAAGAACAGGACTTGTTTATTTCTCCTCATTAGTTCTGCTGTTATTTT